TTCACAATAATAAAATTAAGAAATATTCTAATAAAAAATAATTAAAAATTCTACGTAGTAACTTCCAAGTACATTTTTATTAGCTACAATTTGATTTACCTCAAGGAAGAAGCATTTTCGTAAATCTTAATAAGAAAGATAGCCGCGCTTATCGTTGCCTTATTAAGCCTGTATAACAAGTAGCCCAAAATAAACATAATAATCCCTTGGTATAACGCAACAACGTAATCATTGATTATACTTTATTACGACGAGCTGAAAATTTTATTATCAGTTAATAAGTTATCGAGCTCGGAAGCTAATAATCCAGCTTCCCTCTATTTTCTCTGCCGGACGAAGACGCGATAATTACGCCAGATATTGTGAGGATATTTACCCTCTTCCTCCACGCTATATACATATATATCCGAAAGAATATTAAAACAAAAAAAAATGCCTCCTTTGGTGTATCACGTTTAATTCCGCCATCAACTTATCTCATCGTCAAACATGAAAAAAAAAACCTGTTCTCGATATAATCGTCGTTCCAATAATGTACCTTAATTTCTACATTGCACAAAAAACATTAATTAAAAGCTAATTTTAAAATAGTTGGTACAATTTAAAAATAATCCAGTTCCATAGAAATTTCGTAAATAAACGACCCTGTATCAAGCCACCCTATATTTGTACACGCTGTTTCAATTTCACAACTACCTGCGTCAACCCTTTATTTCCCCCCAAGCCCCCGCGATATTTCGCTATTTTTACTTGAACGCGCCCCGCGTAAAAATAAAACGCATCCGAGAACCGATCCAGCCGTACGAAACCCCGAACTTCCGGCCGCACGTCTCTCCCTCATATTAACACCTCTTCCGTCAGCGGCCGCCTTGAATAACGAATAGCCCGTAAAACGTCATGAATTTCTGAGCGTCAGCATCGTCGTCGTCGACGTCGTGGCAACAATGATACTCGTAAAGTCGCGATGGTTTCCAAGTTCAAGTAACGAGACTCTTAAGTAGAAACGGTGAAACAGAGTGAAAGAGAGACGTGATACACAGCTGTGGATAGAGACGGAGAAAATACCTATGGCGAAGGGACCTACGGTGCGTATGATCAGTAACCAGGCCATTCCATCAGGCGGAAACGACGAAACTCTTGATCCATCCGCGATGGCCAGATGAGCTTTTATTATTTATCGTTACTTTAGAGAGTTGCCGGTCGGTTTTAGCCGGCTTTTACGGTTACCTTTAATGGCGGCCAGTGTGGAAGTTTCGAAACGACTGTTCGCCTTCGCCTCTTTATGCGGTGCACTTAGCAGCGTCGAACAGAGCTGCCCCCCTCCGCCCCTCTTTTCATGGGAAATCGATGGAAAACGTATTAGGGCACAGAATGAACGAGAGATAGGGATAGAGGTATGGTTGTGACGAGGAGGGTCGAAGGAAGGAACTTGGCCTTTACTCTAACCCCGTGAAACGATACCATGGTAGTACAGTCGTTGCACAGTCGGTGGTACTCAAAGAAAATCTTTTCTGTCTGTTTCAGATCGGCGAGACAGTAAACTCGGAACTCCAGATCATAACCAGCGTGTTCAACAAAGTTCTCCATCGCGGTGAGTACTGATTCTGATACGCTGTGATACAGGGTTGCCGAGGAGTGATTTGAAGTTAATCGTAGGAAGCGGTTTGTGGAATCTGGACGGTGGTTTTGGTTAATTGAATTCGGTCTGGTTTATTGGGCAGGTTGATTTGTTCGATTGGAAAGAGTTGAGTTAAGATCTCGTGTGTCGCTTAACGTCGACGCGCGTTTATGTGGAACTTTTGTTGGTACTGATAAGGGTTTGGAGGTTGAAACTTACAATTTGTACTTGAAGCTGGAGAAGCTTGAAGTGTAAAACTTACAATTTGAATGTCAGAAATTGAAGCTTCAAGTTGAATTTGAAATGTGAAGTTTCCAATTTGAAAATCAAAGATTTATACTTGAAACTGGAAATTGGAAACCTGAAATGCAAGACTTACTCAATCTGCACTTTCACAGTTAGACGTAACAAAATTCAATATCAAAAATTAAAGCTTGAAGTCTGGATTTGAAATGTAAGATTCGCAATTTGAGAATCAAAAATTTATACTTGAGCCTGGAAATCTGAAGTGTATTGTGAATCTACGCTTTCGCAATTTTGAATATCAAAAATTGAAGCTTGAAAGCTGGATTTGAGATATGAAATGCGAAGCGTGAAAACTCAAATTTGAAGTTAAAATGTGAAATGTGAGTACGAAGACTGAAAATTGAAATTTTCCATAAAAAATTTTCGCACAATTTGGAAAAACATGTTACACATTCAGGGAGCAGAGGATTTCTATGGTGCGAGTAGATTCGCGCGGTTTGCAACTCGTGATTTATTGTAATTCCATGTTTAATGCGAGCACCTTTCGTCTCTGCCGCGAGCGTGCACTATCAGTACACATTTACGCATTAGGACTGCCTCAGAATATCTGGTGCGTTATAGGCTTTCAACTCGCTAGCAAGCTCCGCTAACGTCTGCTTTTGCGATGGGATATTAATAGTTTCGTTCGCTCCGCGCCGTATAGCGATCACAATTTATCCCCTGTGGTACTTCGCCATCCTATTAGGAATTTCTAGTCACTGCATTTCGAGTATTTGGAAAGCTTATAGACGATCAAGAACTTCAATTCGACAACCTGTGCCTACTTATACTTCAACTTGTTTTACAACAAGAGCCTGTGGTCTAAATTCTTAAGTCAGAAGTGTACTTCACGCTTGAAGTTTTGAAGATGATCTGACAAACGTATTTTTAAAAATTAGTGGAAAAAGTATTTTATCCTGTTTAAGAGTGTCTTGGTGAAAAAATTTGGGAATTAAGGATTAGGGGCTAATTGATATTTAATTAACAAAATATTTATTCATTCGATAAGTCTCTATTTTTAATTATGTGATTGTGTATCAGTGTCAAGCATGAAGTTGTGTACATCAAACTTACATTTGCACGAAGTGAGCTTTCTACTAATTTTTAATTACACACCTAGGGAATTGAATATTTTTACCGATAAATGAACTCACTTGATGCGTAAAAATTAGGCTCATTTTGAACCCCGATGACTAATGAAGCTGTTAATTAAATCTCATCTATATTCCCATTTTTATGACCCGCCGTCTGGTCTATGTCTCAAGTGCCTTCACGCAGTCCCGTATCGCACTCAACGCTTAAACAAACTCTCGATTTACAATACCGAGAGATCGGCTCTCAGTACGACATATTCATCAATCTGCTGAATTTTAAACCTACATCGTTATATCGTTAAATATGAAATATGTACACCAAACAAACTAATTTTTAATTATGCATTTAAAGGACTGAATCTTTTTACTGATAAATGGGCTCATTTAACGCGTAAAAATTAGGTATTCATCAATCTGCTGAATTTTAAACCTACATCGTTATATCGTTAAATATGAAATATGTACACCAAGCAAACTAATTTTTACTTATGCATTTAAAGGACTGAATCTTTTTACTGATAAATGGGCTCATTTAACGCGTAAAAATTAGATTGATTAAAATTGTCAATTAAATCTTACACTCATCAATTATACTCAAGACTCGTCAAAGCAATTGAACTTCCTCGACATATCAATCCTCCAAATCACACTAAAAATTCCATAATTGTGTTCGTCAAATCACCACAAACTATTCACACATTCACCATCAAACCGAACGAACGGACACGCAAATTCAATAAAATTACAAACATTCACACGGCTAAATTCACTGAAATCCTGCACAAACCGTTCTACAAATCTCCCAAGAATTCCCATAAAAGAAGAACCCGACAAAACGCATTCAGATTTCATCAAACCAACTGAATCCCTAACAGAATAAACACAACCTCCTCCACCCGTTAAAATAAAAAAATAAAAAAAGTTGCAAAACATTTACTTAAAACCTACATCTATTTTTTAAAAAACCTGCTCGTTACCGGTGGAACGTTCTCAAACGGCTTCTTAAACCATCGTAAAATGAATCACCCTCGACAAACCGTTCGCGAATACCGTTCCATTCAAGCGACCCCGTCGATACCTGAATGCTCGTAAACCGACGCTAATTCTTCCGTGTAACTCGTCGAAAGTCTAAAATAGACTGAGATCCATGGCCTCTGTATGAAAGGAGGTGGTAGGAGGAGGGAGGTAGACGATTCAGCGTCGCGTGTCCGTGTCTTTCATCCACGTTCGCAATTAGTGGACCGTCAAAAGGCGTCGTTGGTGGCACGCGGAGGAGTTCGTGGGTGGAAAACCGGGTCCCTGGGTCGAACGAAGCGAAACAGAGAGAGAGAGAAATAAAGGGGGGAAATAGCGATGAATACGCGGTTCACGCACCAAATAATGTGTGGACCGCTTCAGCGAGCCGCGCTGGAAAGTTGGCCGCAGTCTGTCGCTGGGATAACCCCGGATAATAAATAAAACGGTGCCAGGAAAGGGAGTGTGCCGACGCTCCCGGCTACGAAGGAGCAGGAGGATGGGTGGCGCGCGACTCGCTGACTCGAGAGGGTGAAAAGTCGACGGCGAGAGAGAGAGAGAGAATGTTTCTCTTAAGGTAACGAGTCACTTCGCCGCAGCGAATATCCGTGCCAGCCTCCTCGAAAGGACGAGTTTATCTCGTAGCAAGACTCGATACTGTGGGGCGTTTTGTGGCATAAGCGAGGAAGAGGGACAGGGTACGATTGAGGAGATACGTACGTTAGATATGTCTAGATTCGAGAAGGAGCGGAGCTACGTTTTTATCTAACAAGGAAGTTACTCAGATGGTAAATTAGTTTGGTTAGAATAACGGTGGGAAGTTATAGGGCTCGAGATAATGAGAATTGAAACAAGTGTCACTCGGCTGGAAAATTCAGTATCGGCCAGAAAAATGAGGTCGGAGTCCGTCGTAAGCAGGTCTGAAACTGCATATAATTAACTTCATATTTCTTATTTTGTTCAGTTGTTCCATTTTTTGGATACGTGTAAATAAAATAGCTGGAAAAGAGATACAAGTAACATCAACCAAATCAGCTGGTAGGTGTTTAAAAATTGGTTCATTTTTCTCGAAATTAACCTAACTGTTTTTCAACGTAAGTATGTGTCCAAAAATATCTTCTAAAGTGCTTAAAATAGGCGAGTTTATGTTCGTATGTCGTAATCGCGAAGATGAAGATCAACATTTTTTTTTTTTTTTAATAAATTATTAAACTCAGAGTCCAGGAAACTTTGATATACCTATACATACTCTGCAAGTACTTCAGTATGGCAATTTTTAAATTTTCTGCTATTCAATTATTATACAATAAAGAACAGCGTCAGAGTCAAATTTAAAGATTACTACGAGTACTTATCTTCCTCCTCCTCGAATCTATTCACTACTCTAACAACACAATCAATAAAGCGCATTAATAGCATATACAATTGATATCCCACTGAAAATTAAATTTACCCCTTGACGTCAAAACTTCGACTTTTGATATTATCGTTCACTACAAAGCTTACTCGAAAACTAAGCCCCTCGTGAACAAATTTCATTCCATACATCCAGTTTGTTCCGTCGCGCAGGCACGGAACGCGTGGGGTCTTCGTTGACCGGGTTTATGGCACGCTCGCACGAGAAGGTTATTTTTGAGAACAAAGACGCTTCGTAGCTCCGCGAAAAAATAAGTAATTTCTTACAGAACAATGCCTTTAGAATTTCGACTTTCCGCGTCCTCGAATAACCGAAGACGTGTCATAAACCAGGTATTACTGAAGGGTCAATCCACACGCGCGTATAACGGCACTCTCGGC